AGGTGCGGCGGCGGCGGGTGCGGCAGCGCGTGGTGGTGCGGGTGCGCGTGCGGCGGCGCCGGCCCGGGGTGCAGCAGCGGGTGCGCGTGCACGTGCGGGTGCGCGTGCACGGGCGCCTCCAGACGGCTGCGGTGCGGCGGCGGCGGCGGCGCCAGCCCCGGGGGGCTCCCGGCCAGGCTGCCCTCCAGCTCCAGGGGCTCCAGCTCCAGGGCACGCAGGTTCTGCTCCCTCAGCCGCTCCTCCTGGCGCCGTTTGAGGCGGCGGCGCAGGAAGCTGCAGAAGCAGCACAGCAGGACGATGAGACCCCAGATGAGCCAGAAGCCGGCGAAGCACGTGAGGAACGTGTAGGTGCCCTGGGACATCACCATGGCTGCGGCGCGAGCGGCGGGGCCTCGGCAGCTTTACTGGACGCTGGGCTCCTTGGCGTGGCCCCGGGGCCGCGCCCGGCTCCCAGGTGCCGCCAGCGTCGCTCGGGGACCCGCGGCCGGGGGCTGCCTGCGACGGGGCTCAACGGGCGCGCACGCCGGCGGGGGGCAACCTGGGTTCCCTCTCCTTTCCATGGCGCCGGCCGGCGCGGGCTCACCTCACCCGGGGCCGCGAGCGACCTGCGGGGCAGACACCGGGCTCAGCGAGGCTCGCCGGGACCCTGGGCGACTCCCGGCCCGCGGCCCTCGCCCCTCGCGGGGCCGGGGATGCCTCCTCCGTGGGAACCCCCGCGCTCCCCGGGGGCCGGGTGACGTCACCGAGGGTGACGTCACGCCCCGAGGTTTCCCCGACAGGGTTTCCCCCGACTCGAGACCCGGCCGCCGCGTGCCGACGCGACCCAAGATGGGCCAGCAGGGGGCGCGCGGAGCCCGCCCTCGACCCTAGGGTCCACTTAGGAGGAGGCTTGCAAGCACCGGGGCACGGGGCTAGTCCCGCGGTTTGGGGTGGGGAGGAGGACAGCCCACCTCCTGGAGGCCCACCAGCAGCCCGCGTGGCGCCCAGCTTCTGCTCCGCGCTGCTCCTAGCTGTTGGCCACGCCTGCGAGGCTGGCAGCGGCTGCCGCTGCACGCCGCCGGCCCTGCCTTTGTCTGCTCCTGAAGCCTTGTGCTGGGCGTGGGCCAGGCCCGCTTTCCTTCCTCTGGGCGCCTCTGCCAGCCGGATTCCAGCCCCAACTCGACTTCCCACACCACCTACTCATGCGCAAACCCCACTGGCTGCACCTCTCTTGCTTCCAGCCCTCCCTTTTCCTTCCACTAATTCCTTTCCCCGTCTGCAGAGGGGTGGAAAATTAGGTTTGTCTTTCTTTCGGAACCACCTAGTCCTGCACTCATTATAAAGTCTCTAAGGCCCACCTCCTACCTCAGCAGGGGTCTGAGGGCATCTCTGACTGCTTAGTTGCGGGCAGCAAGAGCCAGACAGGCCACCATCCTCATGGGACAGAAACGGGCCTTTCCTGAATGCCTTCTACCAGGGACTTTAGCACAACCTCCCCCTACCACCACCATACACACACACACTCACACACACGGGGAACAAATTGTTTCCAACTCGGCTGAGAACTGGAAGAGCAGTTAACTGTACAGATGGCAGTGCTAATTTGAACTTAGGCCTAGCTGCAAAGCCCTAGCCTGAGCTCGTGCCGAGTATGAGTATGGTTTTCCAGGCGCTCCAAACAACCGCCTGCCCTTGGCACACCCACACTCTCAGCTTTGGTGCCCACAGTCAGCTTAAGACCCAGGCTGAAAGGGTGCCAGGCCTTGGCCACCCTGGCTCCCCAGATGGCTCCTGTCTGACTCTCTGGCTGCCTTTAGCCATGTGTCCCTTGGTGCCCATGCCAGTCCTATCCTCCTGGGCCTGCGTTCCAGAGCAGACAAGGGTAGGAACAATAGCTCTGCCCGCCCCCTCCACAACCCCACCATGAGGCTGCCATGGTGACGCAGCCCAGATAAAAACACGATGCTGCCAGTCACTGGGAGTTAATTAAATCTGTTGTTCTCCTTTCCTTGAGCCCTCAGGAACAGGGATGTTCTGCAGGCTTCAGCCAAAAGGGCAGAAACAGTCCCGGGTCAAAAAATGTATTTCTGTGGTTGGAGGGAATGAAGCTTGCTAAATGAGAAGCATCTGTCAAAGAGCCGGGGGCAATGGCGCAGCTCTGCAACTGCAAAGATGGCTTGGGCCCAGAAGAACGGCCATCATGGACAACGTGACACCACGGTTCCCTCCGAGAGCATAGAAATAAAGAGAAGCTTTAAAAATAATCTGCCAGGGTCATCAGAAGTTGATCCTTCTTTCCTTGGAGATTTTTGTTGTTTTTGAGACAGGGTGTCTCTATGTCCCAGCTGGCCTCACACTCAAGAGCTGTCCACCTGCCTCTGCCTCCCCATTGCTGGGATTCAAGGACTGCACCTCCACATCTGGCTCCATGCACAATCACAGGAACATTCACATCTCCTCATTTCATGTCACACAGCGAAGAGGAGGTGCTAAGGTTTGGTCTGTATGTGACCAGCCGCTGTCCACCTCCATGGGCTGAGCTGTGGATGAAGCCCCAGCGCCTGTTAGCACCCAGCTCATGAGAACACCTGGGAGTTGGGTTAACCTGTGGCCAGATGTGTGTCCTGTTCCAGCCTGTCAAGGCTCCACAGCACCTTTGGTGTAGCCCAGGGAGTGGGGAGGTACTTCAAGATCTGCAGAGAACAAAGTACAGAAATATGCCCCAAGGGTACCTAGCTCACAGCCTGGGCACTGGGCCAGATGCCAAAGAAGAAACCCCAAGTCTGTGTGCTGCTGCCACTGCTGCAGGAAATGCCAACAGCCTCTGCTCTGTGCAAACTCTGGGTCAGAGAACATGCCACTGAGCTGCCCGACAAACAGTCCTGCTCCAACTCCCCTGCCAGGCTACAGAGAGCCAGTCTGGCCTGAAGCGTCCCTCCTGGACAGTCCACAGTAGTTGTTTGGCTTGTAAACACCAAGAGGGTCATTCAGATCTTTTGGAATGCTCTATTGAACGGGCCAGACTTTTCAAAACCCCTGCCCCAAGGCTCTTCCCTGCCTCTGTGCATGCTTTGGCCCAAGTGGGCGGGGGGGGGGGACACCCAGAGACTCGGCCCCAGAGTCTTGGTCTCAGCCCCTCATGTTGTCTCACCGTCTCCACAATGTTGACAGCAAACACCTGTACTTGCCCACCTCCTCCCTGTCCACCGGGAACCATGCCCTCCATCTTTCCCTCTGCCAAAGGATTCCTTTTCTGCATTTCCTCTTTTCCTCACCTTATATTCTTGTATATTATTGAACAATATTTAGGATTCCCTCTTAATGTGCAGCATTATGGGCTTGGGGCTTTGCTGGGTTTTCTTAGACCATCCTGGGATAAAAGCCAGGCCCCAGGTGTTTCCTAACCACTGTGCTGCCTGTTTTCTCATGAATCACCGCTGTGGTAAGGAGTGAGCTAAGTTCTGCAAAGGTCACAGAATTGTGTGCTTTGGGGCTGGGGGATA